AATGATTGGAAAGCTCGTTGAAATACCTTTCTTAACCATGCAAATATTATTGCATAATTATCAACATACAGAAAGCAGTAATGTTTTAAAATTTCTGCAAAATCAACGAGGAAATCAACCAGGATTTTAAATTTCTCACAATGCAGTAACGAAAATTGATGAAATTTTAAAGGTGAACTCTACAACTTATCATATACATAATTCAAAAATTTCATTATTTCTAGACATGTATATCAAAAGATGCCATTAAAGAATATATAAGGTTTCAAAATTTAAGATACAGGATTTATAACTCAATTGAATTATCTTATGGCATTTTTAAGCATGAAATATTGGAAGGAATTCAACCTTGAGGCTTTGATACCAATGACAATATTCTTCAATAAAAATTTCAGGTCAAGATTCTTACTTGAATAGATGAATTTGATATACTTTTGTGGTTGAATCACCATTCTATTCCATGTTCCGTATTTTCCATATATTTAGCACTCCAATGGTCCTAATACCGATCACAATAGAAGGGGATTATCTATGAACTAAGTGCCTAATTTTGTGAGTTTTCATGCCAAAATAGAGTTTTAAGAGCCTGTCTAATTTTGGTGCACTATTACATACAAATTTTACACAATTTTCTTGCTATCTTTTTTCTCCCCTCTTTTTAAGACAAAGTGAAGGAGTTATGGAAAATATTGAAGTTGATGAGGGTTAAGGGAAGTTATGGGTTTAAAATTCTATTCAAACCGCTTACTCCGTTCAACTTTAATATCTTGTAGGTCGAGTCACCCCACATGGGCAACCCACTACCCGTATTTTCCAGCATTGCTCCTGGAGATGGGATGGGGGAGGGGTAGAGAGAGGGATGAGGACAGTTTTCTTGCTTCACTGCATTACATTCTGAATCCAACCAAAGTTCGAATGCTCTTTCCATCGTCAAATGCTGATTCAACATGAAACACAAGTTCTTCAGTTTAAAAATCAACATATTATTAAAGCTGTCATTTGAGAAATAAGATACACAAACAATTAGCTTATAAACCTAGGAAGAAAAGTACTCGACAGTAAAGAAAGCAAATATGCAAGTTCATCTTCGGGTAGAAATGGTTCCCAAGAGGATATGCAGCGCTGGGGCAGGTTAGGGTCTATTGGAAATGGTTACATGTACTTCTTTTCCTTTTTCTATCCTTGATTTTCTGAATTGCAGGGTCTCTGTAAATTTGTTTGCTATGTAGATAAATGGATTATGGTGGAACGGTGTTTTTTATTTTCCTTTATGTTATCTTTTAATTATGGGACATAGCTTGAATAAATTAAAAATGAAAAATTACATATAGTTGATCTTCTCTAAGAAAACATTCCAAATCAAGGTTGATTTCAGCCCGCCAAAAGAGGGGGGAAGTAATATTTGTTGGAAACGTAATTTGCAATTATTATCTAGATTCATGAATTATAATTATACATGCATTTGTCCATTAATGTACTAGAGGAGGAGAAACGTATCTATTCAATGTTGGTTCATGAGTTAGGCTAGATACATGTTAAATCTTATCTATAAATACTCATGTAACTCAAGTCATTAAAAGTATCGAAGTCACAAAAATTTACAATATAATATCTTCTCTTCTACAATCATAAAAAAGTGCAGCAGCACTATATTACGTATAATTTCGAGCATTCGATATTTCTTCTTTTTCATTCGGTTTTAATCAATCCCCAACAAATTTTTGGTATCAGAGCTTAGTTCTCTATACGTATCTCAAATTTTATTTCCCCTCTCCAAAGCATGGCAGCAAATCATGTTTCTACATCCATGTTTTCCTATACTCCTAACCAAGTTCCCATATTTGAAGGAGAGCATTTTGATTATTGGAGTAGTCAAATGGAGACACTCTTCATTTCGCAAGATTTGTGGAAAGTTGTTGAAGATGGATTTCCGGAACCTGATGATAACGAAGAAGAAGAAGAGGAATGGACGGAGGCTCAACAAAAAGATTACAAGAAAAATTTACGGAGAGATGCAAGTGCTCTTAGATTTATACAACAAGGATTAAGCAAGACCATATATCCTCGAATTCACGGTGTCAAAAGAGCCAAGCAAGCTTGGAATATCTTAAATAAGGGATTTCATGGCAATGACAAGGTGACATCTCTAAAGCTTCAATCTCTTTGGAGGGAGTTCGACAATTTATCAAAAAAAGATAATGAAGTTATGCAATTCTATCTAACTCGAGTCTCCGAAATAGTAAATCAAATTAGAAGCCTTGGCGACACAATTGAAGAAAAAAAAGTTGTTCAAAAGGTCCTTTGAAACCTTCCCGCGAGATATGATTATATTGTCACCGCTATTGAAGAATCAAAAGATTTGTCTAAATATACTTTTAACGATTTGATGAGTTCCCTGCAAGTACATGAAGAAAGAATTGGCAGGTTCTCAAATCAGCCACTTGAGCAAGCATTTTAGTCCAAAATGAAATTTTATAATTCAAATTTTAAACAGTGGCAAGAAGGCAGAGGAGTATCTTCCCAAGGAAGAGGAGGTTCTTTCCAAGGAAGAGGAGAATCATCACGAGGACGAGGAGGATCATTTCGAGGAAGAGGAAAAGGAAGAGCACAAGGCAACCAATCAAAAAACTATGACGGAAATCCAAATCGTCAAGCTGGAAATGCAAATATTTTTTGCAAAATTTGCAGAAAATCAAATCATGAAACAAATGATTGCCTCTACAAATGCAAGAGATGCAGAAATCCTAACCACTCTCAAAAAGATTGTTATTACCAGAACAAAGATGAGAAGGATGAAGCAAACTTTTCCAAAGATGAAGATGAACAACTTTTCTCTTGTATGACGGCTCAACAACAATAAAAAAATGTATAGCACCTAGACAGCGGCTGCAGCAGTCACATGACTGGAAATAAAAAAAATTTCATTGATCTTGATGAGAATTTAAATTTAGAAGAGAAGCTTGGTGATGGAAAGTTACATCGCACTGAAGGAAAGGGAACCATCGCTGTTCAAACTAAAGGAGGTAACAAAAAGCTCATTGGTGATGTTCTTTATGTGCCTAATTTGACTAGTAACCTCCTTAGTGTTGGACAACTGCTACGCAAAGGATATTCTGTTTTTTTTTATGATGAAAAATGTAGAATATTTGACAAGAAAAGCAATTCCACCATCGCCACAGTTCCTATGAGCTCCAATAAGGTGTTTCCCATGAATATGCCTCTTCAAGAAAAGGTGGCCTTCACAGGTGAAAATTTTGATCAATCTCAACTTTGGCATTTGAGGTACGAACATCTTAATATCAAAGGGCTGCAACTTCTCAAGCAAAAGAATATGGTGATTGGACTCCCAGAAATTGAAGCAAAAACTCAAGTTTGTGAAGGATGCATATATGGTAAAATGCATCGACTTCCCTTTCCGAAAACATCTTGGAGAGCTAGAGAACCTTTGGAGGTTATTCATACGAATATATGGGGTCCTTCGAGGACTCTCTCTCTCTTGGAAACAAAAGGTATTTCATTTTATTTGTCGATGACTATACAAGGATGATGTGGGTTTATTTTCTAAATGAAAAGTCCAAGGTTTTTTCCACATTTCTCAAATTCAAAGCTCTAGCGGAAAAACAATCTAGTCATCAAATCAAAACCCTTCGAACAGATCGTGGAGGAGAGTTTATTTACACTCCGTTTATGGAGTATTGTAAAGATAATGGTATTCAGAGGCAGCTCACTATTCGGAGGAGCCCCCAACAAAACGGGGTAGCCGAGCGAAAAAATCGCACCATTGTTGAAATGGCTAGAAGCATGATGCAAAAGTCTACCCAAAATATTTTGGGCGGAAGCGATACACACAACTATTTATATTCTGAATCGATGCCCAACAAAGGTCGTTCGAAACCGAACACCGTTTGAAGCTTGGCACAAGAAAAAGCCCGTAGTTGATCACTTGAAGATTTTTGGCAGCATTGCATATTCTCATAACTATACTCTAAATAGAGATAAATTTGATGAAAAAAGTGAGAAGCTTATTTTCATTGGCTATAGTGATGAGTCAAAAGGTTATCGCCTTTACAATCCTATATCTTGCAAGCTTCTGGTTTCAAGAGATGTTATTTTTGATGAAACGGGATCATGGAGGTGGAAAGGAAATTCGTCCAAATTGATATCTCAAGAGGAGTTCTACGATGCATCAAATTTTGAGGATGAACTCGGTCATGTTAGTCCACCTCAAAGTCCAAATCCTCGCCCACCAAGATAGTCGGTTCGAGATGAAAGTTCAAGTTCCGATTCACCAATTAAAAAGACTCAATCCTTGAGAGAAATTCTTGAGACATCTGAATTTGCTCTCTTGGTCTGTGAACCTCAAAGTTTTGAAGTCGCAGTGAAGGAAGAAACATGGAGAAAAGCTATGCAAGAGGAGATTGCCATGATAGAAAAAAATAAAACTTGGGAATTGGTGGATATGCCGAAACACAAAGATGTTATAGGACTGAAATGGATTTTTAAAACAAAGTATAATGAAGATGGAAGCATACAAAAATACAAGGCTAGGCTTGTAGCGAAGGGATATTCTCAACAACCGGGAATTGATTTCAATGAGACGTTCTCACCGGTTGTTAGAATGGAAACTATCAGGGTTGTTCTTGCTCTTGCAGCGCAGTTGGAGCTTCAGGTATTCGAACTTGATGTTAAATCAGCTTTCCTTAATAGAGAGCTTGAAGAAGAAGTTTATGTACAACAACCTGAAGGATTTGGAGTGAAAGGGAAAGAAGATAAAGTGTATTGCCTCAAGAAAGCACTTTACGGACAGAAGCAAGCTCCAAGAACTTGGAATAGCAAGATTGATGGCTATTTTTATCAAGAATGGATTTCATCGAAGTCCTAATGAGCCCTCTCTCTATGTGAAGAAGCAAGATCATGATTTCTTGATTGTGTGCATCTACGTAGATGATCTTATCTACACTAGCACCAATATAAGGTTAGTCGAGGATTTCAAGCGAAAAATGATAAATGAGTTTGAGATGACTGATTTAGGAGTCATGAAGTATTTTCTTGGAATACAAGTGAAGCAGTCCAAAGGAGAAATCTTTATTTCTCAAGAGAAATACACAGAAGATCTTCTGAAGAAATTTCATATGGAGAATTGTAAATCAATTTCAACTCCTATGGCAGGGAACGATAAGTTGAGAAAAGATGACGGAGCAAAAAAAAATAGATGCAAAACTATTTAGGAGTCTTGTTGGTTCACTGATTTATCTCACAAACACACTGCCGGATATTGTTCAAGCCGTGAGCATAATCTCAAGGTTCATGAATGAACCAAGTCAACTTCATTTTGCAGCAGCTAAAAGAGTCGTGAGATACTTGCAAGGAACAAAGAAAATAGGCATCAAATATGTAAAAGAAAATGAGAGCAAGTTGATTGGATATAGCAACAGTGATTGGGGAGGTTCTTTGGATGATAGAAAAAGCACTTCAGGTTAGTTATTGTCTCGGAACTAATGTTGTTTCATGGAGTTCAAAGAAGCAAAAAATGGTAGCGTTATCATCCGTGGAAGCTGAGTATATTGCTGTTACAGATGCAACTTGCGAAGCTATCTGGTTGAGACGATTACTAGCAGAATTGAAACAAGTTCAAAAACAGCCCACAATAATTTATTGTGACAATATGTCTATGATAGCCATGACAAAAAATCTGGTGTTTCATTCAAGAACAAAACACATTGAGTTGCGACATCATTTCATCCGAGATATGGTGAGTAATGGTAAAATCAGCTTGGAATTCATTGGAACGAATGAGCAACCCGCAGACTTTCTAACCAAGGCGATCTATGTCGAGAAATTTCAAAAGGCAAGAGGCATTCTCAAAATTGCAAATTAAGAGGGGGTGTTGGAAACGTAATTTGCAATTATTATCTAGATTCATGAATTATAATTATACATGCATTTGTCCATTAATGTACTAGAGGAGGAGAAACGTATCTATTCGATGTTGATTCATGAGTTAGGCTAGATACATGTTAAATCTTATCTATAAATACCCATGTAACTCAAGCCATTAAAAGTATCGAAGTCACAAAAATTTACAATATAATATCTTCTCTTCTACAATCATAAAAAAGTGCAGCAGCACTATATTACGTATAATTTCGAGCATTCGATATTCCTTCTTTTTCATTCGGTTTTAATCAATCCCCAACAATATTGACGAGTGTGTTTTATTCACGAGTTTAAGCCAATTTTAACTTGATTTTAAGCTAGATTTCACGAGTGTTGAATGTTTTTAATGTTGTTTTATAGGTTTGTTGAGATGGTGAAAAGCTACGAAAAATATCATCAATTGAATTAATGGCATGGATTGGGACGAAATTATGGATATAAGGGCAAATTAGACAAAGAACAAGTATTAGATAGGGCGCCAAGACACCGGAGAATCGATAAAGAAATAGAGTGTGGACGTCGCGACGCTACATTCAGGGCGCTAAGGCGCCTACCCCATCTGAGCCTCAATGGCTCGATGATATTAATGAGTGGCACTGCGGCGCCACCCAATAGCGCCACTCCCAAACGACATCGCAAATGGATCCACTAGGGCGCACTTCCGTCCCTTTTTGATTCCATATGAAAACCCTGTTATTTATACATGGCAGGATAAGGGGTGAAAAACACATCTTGGGAGAAAAAAGGAGAGATTCAAAGGGAGAAAACAACAACAAATTCATTGTGTGAAGCATCAATTGGAAGAGGAATGAATTCTTGGTGTAAGATCTACTTTTTTCTTCTACATCTTTAATTCTAAATTCAGTGGTGTATTCTAAGATAATTTGTTTTTTCTCTTCTTTCATTATGCGTAGCTAAATCCATTATTAGGGCGAATAATGTAACCAATTTGGAGCCCTTTATATTTTCTTATTAAGATTCTTGATTTTTAATTTTTTCATGTGTTGATTTTTTCTATGTATTAATTGCATTAAATTATCTGATCAATAATTTGATGAATTTTGTGACTCATTTACGAATAGAGTTATGAGTTTGGAATTTAGACCATGTAGTAAAATCCAGTACATTGGTATAACGAGTAGAGATACCTAAGCCAGTTATTATGGTCATAATTGAATTCCTAGGACAAAGAACTCGTTTTACTATGTTGAATTTTCATAGAGATATGGAATTCAATTATTTGAACATGCTCTATGAGAACCCGAGAGGGGTACATTGAATACAATAGGTGAATTCGACCAAAGGCTTCATTAGAATTGAGTCTTAATTTGAGATGTAAAAGTGATCAATAAGTGAAATTATTCTTCCCTAATGTCCTCTAATTATTTGATTTTACAAACAATTGTGTAAGCATCCATTTATTTTCTAGAATTAAGATTAAAACTCAAATCACTACAATTTTTAATTTGTTTTTATCAAATAGTAGTTAAAGAAAAAATTGAATTAAGTGATAAAAAATAGTTCTTGTGGGATCGAAAATCCAGACTCTTAGGTTCACTATTACTTGTTAGAGTTCGCACACTTGCGAAATTAAAATATAAAACAAATATGCCATGACTTACATCAGCAGGCGATAATTTCTATTTTTCTTTTCTAAACTTTTATTATGCACATTTGTCATCAAGGCCTTTGATTAACATAATTAAAAAGCTACTCCAGACCGTAGAGAATTATATGTACATTTACTCTTGTAAGCAAACCTCACAACATTTTCAGTATATGAAAGGAGAAATCTTATTGATTATTAACCCATTTCATCCGTTATCTCTTCAGCAACTTTATCATCAGTAACATGATGATAAAGGACCGTGCTTATGATTAATGAAGCGATTTGTGATTACCATAACAGATAATTACTGCTCAACAGAGATCAAGCTAGTACATTGGTAAAAGGACTGAATCGAGAGTTGTAGTGTGTTGAGGTTGTCATGGTTAAAGGGCTTGCTATTATAAGATCTGATACCATGAAACTTTTCCAGGAATTGTTAATTTAAGCTGTGTATTCTGTTTTATATACCATATAAGAATTATTGTTGAAGGAAAGAAATTAAACACAAATCCATGGCGGCTATACTTTTTTGTATTCTGTAATCCCTCGTGGAAAATTAGGTAAATCACCAGTAAAGGTTATGAATTAACATTATACATTGATAGTTCTTTGAATGTGATGTTAGCATCAGTTATTCATCTTGTGTTACCTCTTGTTGTATCTGTTTAAACAAGCCAAGATGCATGGGATCAGTCACAAGACCTATGCCTAACAGAATTTATATGGCTGGAAGTCCATTAAAGATGATGAACTGAATCATTTCTGTACTCAACGGACAACATATATATTACAGCTCAATAAAATTAGACACAACACTGCAAAAGACCGAAAGGGAATATAACTCATGTTGCAGAAAAAGTTATCCGAATTAAGGGAATTTATCTCCCCATGGTATCAGTTACCAGCAAAAGAGTTATACATACAAGATCCACTAAAATCCCCTCTGCCAAATCTATTTTTCAACTTAATAAGGTTTTGAACCAGAATAATCTAGAGATTAAGATTAAAGAAAATGCATTCCTTCCACAAGAGTGAGCTATATTCCTTGCACTACTTAGTTGCTTGCTTGATTTTTCACTGAGGATGCATTTGCTCCACTGCGAAAATTTTTGGATCATTCCACGGTTTGAATGCTCCTTCCCTCGTTAGACACTGATTCAACATAAAACAGAAATTTAGTGCAAAATTAACTGTCTAAATTCACCATGTCTTGTTGGAAAAGGATTTTCACGAACTAGGGTAAACTTAAATGAGTTTCCAAAAGATGAGGTGGAAATGTTACAGATTTGAAGCCAAAAGAAGAACCCACGCAAGAGGTTCAAGCACTTTGGTTGGTCATCATGGAATCTTAATAGCCTTTTTTCCATATCTGCATGCAATAGGATATATATCTCAGCTCAGCTGAGTGTAAAACATGACTCAATAGACTAAAAATTCAAATAAAGTGAAGATAAACAAACGTACGTTAACTCTTAGAATGAAGTTTCATATCTAACAAAACAGCACACATTAAATAAGACGATTTGGCATAAAAAAAATTAGGAAAAATAAGACGATTTGGCAGATCACAAATCCAGGTCAATGCTCAAACTCTTCCCTTCTTCTTTTTGTATTTTTCTGTAGAAAATAAATAAATGTTAGATTTATTTTTTTAACATTTATTTATTTTATATGGGGAAATGAAAGTTCAACATTCAATCTGTTCGATTTACTCTTCACTTTGATTTCTGAGTATTAAGGGTTGTTTTGTAAGAAAAACTTTTCTGGATAAAAAACACAATGATTAATTCAATATAAGGAAAGTTATGACCAACGAGCTTTTCTACCACCATATTTCCTAGGAACTTTGGTGGAATGCTTGCTGAAGTTGTTTTTGTACTCTCAAATAATAATGCTGTTTTACCGCCCATTTAAGAAATTGCTTCACAACTAATGCAAATGTAGCCGTCTACGAGAAATTTTATCATATCTTCGAATGATCATGATATTCAAGAACATCAGAGGTTTGCCCAAATTTCGCAGTAATAAACCATTGCTTATCATGGCAACCAACAAACATCAAAAGTGAGGAAATATTTCAATGCCAGAAAAGAAAATCCAAGAACTACAAGAAAAAAGGCCTTTTGCAACATGCAAAATGCAACATTCACTAATTGCATGTTGCTAAAAGGGGTCTATCTTTGCCAACGCTTTTACAAGGAATGTTGCTAATACACCATTTTGCAACGTTCGCAGTCCGTTGTCGTTGAATTTCTTTTCGCAACATGCAATGCGCACTGCTATTAATGTTTTAGCAATATAGAGTGTGTGTTGCCATTATTTTGTTTTCGCAACAGGCATTGCGAAACACCTTTCTATCCTATTTGTACGGCATGATTGCTAGGTTTAAACTTAAAGTTACACATGGTTTATTGGATAGTGGTTTTGATGAACTTATAAATTTTGTTCAGGACATGTTGCCAGAGAATAATACACTTCCTAAATAATTTTATGAGATGAAAAAATTTGTCAATACATTTGACCTTGGCTATGAGAAGATACATGCTAGCTTGAATGATTATTGTCTATATAGGAAGGAGGTTGAACATGCTAGATTATGTCTAAAACGTAGTTGCTGAAGATGGAAAGTTAACCAACGAACTAAGAAAACTCAAATAAAAAAAAAAAAAAAATCCTAGCAAAAGTATTGCGTTATTTCCCTATTATATAAAGACTTAAGAGGATGTTTGAAATATATGAGATGGCGATACAACTTAGATGACACTCAAATAATAAAAAGTCTAGATGGTAAAATGAGGCATCCAGTTGACTCAATAAGTTGGAAAATGATAAATAGAAAATGGCTACATTTTGCATCAGATCCTCGAAATATTAGATTTGTCTTGCAATTGATGGATTTAATCCTTTCAAATATTTTAGCTCTAAATATAGTTGT